AATAAGTCCGTTATTGCTGTATCATTTTCTATAAAATAAATAAGCGCAGGAAAAAAAGAGAAAAGAAGAGGAAAAAATGATCGTTACTTGCACATGATTATTATTAACCATATGGAGATGATAGAACTATATTGGAACTTTTACATAATGATACAGACGATTGCACAGCATAATCCTGTATTCTATATTCATCAACAAATGCATTATGAAATCTAACAGATTAGTGTGAACAACGAGACAATTAGGTGTATATATTATATTGGATACGATGACACATTATATGCTTATACATATATATTGAAGATAACATTTTTGACTTGTATGATTTTCTAAATTGTCATGTTGTCCTTTGTTATCAATAGAATTGTACTTAATATTATTACATTTTATTATAGAAAATTATTAGCAATACAATTATGAAGAAAAATAAATGTAATAAAACCTTTATCATAGCAAGGTTGAACAGATGTTATAATTGACATATCATTAATAAGTTGCATTGAACAAAGATTATTTTATTATTAAAGATAATATCCATTGAAACATTTCTAATGATTATGGCGCTCGAAGATATTAAATTATAAATCAATATTAGGTATTGTCAAGAATATTCTCAATTCTATCTTTTTCCATAACATATCCCAATGTAGATAGTTCGATATTATCTCATATTCTGATGAGACTTAAAATAATTTTTTAGTTTCTATTTTCTATCTTAATTCAATTTTCTGTTTAACTATGATTATTCATTGTCGAATATACTATGACATTTTCTTCTAATAGAAATATTTCATCGAACGTTAATAGTTATATTACAGCTAACATTTACTTTTTCATTATGAAAATATTCCGACGTACCATTTCTTTACTAATGCAAAATATAACAAATGTCTTTACGATTTAATCATTTATTAGTTGAATTCTTTAGTTAATGACATTCGTATTAATCGCTTCTTTGAATTATGCCGACACACGAAAAATTTCAATCGCATGATTTACTGAACGTTGATTATATGGATGAAAAGAAAATGAGCAAATGAATAGTCGTTACAACAATCAAAATATATTGTCAAAAAAAAATTCTAATAAATTTTCCAAACGTAACAAATTATTATGTACTATTAATTATTGGGAAGGTCAACATTCTTGACTGAAAGAAAAACATTTAAAATCTTCACATCCAAACATTTATATTGCAATCGGTTTACTGCACAAAAAAAACGACCGTTAGCATTGATTGAAAGAATACAATATGATATATGTATGTGCTAACTCAATATCATCGAAAAAATAATGTCATAACAAATGAATACATAATGAAATATCTGCAACGTTATGATGAAGGTCATATTGACATTGCAACGTTTTTGAAAGCCACTAAACTGAAATATTTTCTACATATATTTAAAAGCTAAAGTATTCATGTCTCTTTGTTTCTTTGTTCGTATATTTTTGGAATTTCTTATTGGTTCTGACAATAAATTGATTGTCGTAATGGCTACTCATTTCTCTTTGTTCAAATAATCAATGGACAGTGAATCATGTAAATCGAAAGTTTCTACTCCATCGAATACCGAATGAGCTAAAAGTTTTCCGACATTTTTTTGTTTTGCATGTATCTCCGTTCAGGAACATGATAGAAGGCTAATTTTTTGTCAAAAGATACCCCAGTTAATGCTCTATCAGAATTACAAAATCAAATGCTTTAAGCTCTTTTCGAAATTTTAATAAATCAATAAAGATAAATATTTCTTTTGTCGCAGTTTGTCCCATTATAAAAAATCTGGAAAATACAGAAATTACGAGTTTGCAGTATTGACAATTTAGGTTATTGCCCTCTATGGGATACTATATTAGAACACTGAATTTATTAGTAAAACAAAAACAGAAAATTTACCAAGTTGTTATTTCTGATTTGACACCTATTTCTCATTTTAAATTGAACACATTATCTCTTGATATTGTTTTGTGCAACATTGTTTTTAGCTCATGTCATTTTTTTTTGCAGCTTCAGTATGACCTGAAAGTGTATCAACTAGGTACTAGTGCAAGAAGATTACTGCTTTTTGAAGCATATTTTTTAAGAACATCACTAGAAAAAAACTTCTTCTTAGAAGGGTACACCATGAAAAGTAGACACAAATGTCCTAAACTTCTTATGATTAAGCTTAGAATAGATGATAACCTTTCTTCTTTAGTAGACTCACTATATACCCTCTCTCTTTTGTTAGATGTTGTGCTCAAGAATGAATGAATGATACCTGATATGGTCTATTTAAAAATATTCAAAATATTTCAGATTTCTCTAATGGGACAAAGTGCAACAATAGACATCTTCACCTTTATTGATTTCTTAAAATTTCAAAAAGAGCTTAAAACATTTGGTTTTGTAATTCTTAAAGAACATTAAATGAAGCATTTTTTGAAAAAAAAAGATCAACATTGATACAATTCTGTTTGGACTAGAGATATGCAGTTTCAGTTCATTAATCACTGAGTACACAGTCACATTGACACGCTTGCAACAGTATTCACTGAAGCATTGGAATACACGCACACAATACAAAAAAAGAGCATATTTCAATAGACGTGGTGTCTCCATATTCCAGCGAACACAAATGTCAGTTTTTCAGTTAGCCCTATGTCAGTAACTCAACATTCAGTATTTACAACAATACTGTACATACATAACTCCGACTTATCAACTTCTTAAATGTTATTTGTTTGACGTCAAAGCCTTCTATCGACAAATAAGAGTATCAATCAAAGAAGGAAAAACTGATTTCTAAACTAGGAAACACTGTAAATTATAGAAAATGTCCAGTAACAAACTAAAAAATAGAACCCTGATTTTCTTGATTTTCAATAATTGTCAATATTCCTAGTAATTACTCTTGAGTTCTAATATTTTTTCGTGATTTTCCATAATTTCTCAGCATTTCCAATTAAGAAATGAAAATTCATTTTCATGTAGTTATAGAAATCACTGGAAATCAGAAAAATCAAGAAATTAATTTGTTTCTTCTTGGTATCAATTTAGAAAAAGTTTTTTTTCTTATACATAAATTTGATTGCACGTCTTTGAATTATCCATTTCACCCATGTGATGAGAACCGATGGTATTTGCCAGTTAACACTGATTTACCGGTAATGTTTTCAGAAAACTTTTGAATATACACAGTTTGATATGCATTAGATAATGTCGGCACATTGAATCTGCCTGCAAGATTAAGAGAGCATGAAAATATCTTCTAATTCAAATCTGGCTGAGAGCTTCTTTCTGATGTTTCATTGGTCTCACCTGATGAATCAGCTCTTCTATAACTAGATTCTGTTTACTCAGAACACATCATACATTGAAGATAAATATCATCATGATTGCCAAGTTTTTATTATCTTAGATATCATCCGAGCAATATATATACAACAATCTTTAAAAATATATTTTTGCATCAGACGTTTCTTTTCCTTTTTACTGTAGTTTTTGTTTATTTCACGGCTAAAGGAGTACAAATATAATTTATATGCTGAACTAGGCAATCACATATTGTTAAGCGATGATAACCGAGCAAATGATCCTCTTCGTAGTTAACACAGAATTTTTCTGTCTCTATGTGCAACTTATCAATCATGGTTAGCGGTTAACCGCCAGTTTTTTTTTTATACACACTATGGTTTATCGTTGTATCTAATCGGATAGTTACAACATGGGCATTTTATCATCAGAGCACAGATTTTCTTATATCGAATTGAACCTTTGATTAATTGAAACAATAACTAGGATATATTCATAAAAACTCAACATATAACAACGAAAAAAAAAACAGAACAGAATAAAACAAACAAGGAGAAATATTAGTGATGAGTATGCAAATAATAATACAAAAAAAAAACGAACACTGTTTGTTTTTTGTTTTCTTTTGTCTTATAACTCTTCTTATTCATCAATAAAAGAAGTATAAAAAAAAAAACCACCAAATATAGCGCGAACAAATGTGTATGTTTTTTTTTTCTTTAGTGTGCATATTTTAGAAGAAAATAAACTACGTCACAAAGCACAATCACAGTACATAACAGACAAGAGAAAGAAAAAAAAACCACATTTACTTTTTGCTTATAATACGAAACGAAACAATATATAGATACTCTGACTTGACTTCTCTTTCTTTTTTTTTCGTTTGTTTAATCATGAGTCTGGGATGTCGGAGAAAAGTTACAATACGTGGAAGAAAATCTACAGGAGTAAATCATCTATTTTGATCATATGCGCAACGTATACGGCTCACTAATTTTGATCGAAATGCTGATTAATTCGAAGTATACTGAGAATGAACACAGAAAAATATATATAAATAGATACGACATTAAAAAATATATAGATAAACTCTTTACTGGGAAAGGAATGGATATTAAGGAAGTACTATATACAAGCACAAAAGACCATACTATACATATACAAATGAAGATAGGTTAAATTTAACTATTTACATTCAAAAAAAAAAAGTTTCCATGATTTTCAGATAGAGCGACATTGATCTGACTGTCGCAGCAGGCATTAAAAATAGCAGCAAATACATAAAAAGAAAAACAATCGAATAACAAGAACTACTTGATACAAGAAGAAGAAGAAAAAAAAATAACAAACAAAACAAAAGGGAAAAGAAACAATAGGCAACAATAACAAAAAAAAAAACTGCAATAGATTAATATAAAAAAAAAGTTTAACAAACAACAAACAACGGTTTCTATTTTTGTAAGAATTATTCATTTTTTTTTCTTGTTTTCAGCTTTCTTATGTTTCTGACAAAAATAATCTAATAGAAAAACAAACAAACAAGCAAACCAAGGACTTAAATCAAATAGCTACACAACAAGCAATGGCAGGTGCAGACTAGAAAATCAGGGAAACGAATAAATATTTAAAACAAAAATTCAAACAAAGAAAAGAAACGTTTTAATTGAACATGATTTTTTATAAAGAAACGAAGAAACTTTTTTTCTTAATACCCATTATTTGTAATTGGTGGACTTTCACTATGACCATTGATCAAAGGTGGTGATGTACGCTCACCACCAATCATTTGACAACTACTTGGTGTTGTTGATGAAGATGATGTAGATGATGGAGGTGTTGTATTATTACCAGTAACTCCTCCTCCACTGGATCCAAGGGATGGTGATGATGTCATTAAATAACGATAAACATATATACGATAATCTTTACTTGCTAAAACGACACTTCCATCATCCATAAGTGCGACATCGAAACATTGTGCATGTTTCACTTTAGATTCAAGGGCACTTATTAATTGACCATCTATGAAGAGAGTAAATTTATCAAAATTGTATATAGAATTTATATGTGTAGAAAATGTTTTAGCACTAGGTTTTTTGTGCAATTTATCAGTTAAATTAATGTCGTGATAAAAGGAATTTTCTTATTGGTGTCTGTCATAGGTTGACACTTTTGCTTCATATTATAAAATACATTCGAACTACACTCAAAAAAATATATATACAATTGTTTACAAGAATCTCTTTACTGTCGACATTGAGTTAAAGTTAAATCCAATAAATTCTAATATTTATCTTCGAAATCTTAAATATCTGCGCCACAGTGTGAACAAATAGGATGACTTTTTTTTATCGATGATAAAGGATTTTGCTCATCGTTTATACTTGTAAGGAAAAATGTGGAGTCTCAGTTCCGTACTTGCTAGATTTCGTTTATATAAATAAAATTAAAACTATTCCATACAGTTGAAGATTTCGATGTTTCTATTGATTTGACAAATTTTTTCAATCGACTAACTGTTCAATCTCTTTTGTTTTGTTAACATAATACTCTTATTAATTAAGTGAATACTTTTAATTTAATAAGCACCGAAAGATAGAAAAGTAAATAAAAAGAGATAATTGTATGTTGATTATTGTTCTGGGAGTAACCAGTAAATATCAAAAACTCTTGATCCTGCTATTGTTTATGTCTACAAAGGATGTTATATATTCATAAAAAAGAACTTGGATCTGAGTTCACAAAAAGTGAACTCACAATTCCTTAATCGCTATGCACTTCAACATAGTAACTTCCTGATTAATTTTCCTTGATGACCTCCTGAGTTGATCCACTATTTCTGAAGTCATATTTTCGCAAATAGTAGTGAACCAATCTGTTCCTAATAACCTTCGAAGTATTCGCTCTTTTGTGTTATTTTCTCCTTCTAGGATCGAACTTTTTTAATAAAATCTTAATCTAAACTATTTGACCTGAAACTTTGTTGCAAACAGATTCTCAACGATACTAATTCAATGGAGATATGCCCAGATTGTGAAATATTAATAACTGAGAGATATTGTACTCGAGTTAGTCTCATTAAGACCTAAAATTACAGCAAAAGTTTCAGGTGAAAAATTCTGCTCTGAGGCGATGAAATTCAACAAAAAGAACAAATCCTTTCGAGGCTATTATGAATAGACGATTCGTTACTATTTGACAAAATATAACTTCAAAAGCTGTGAATCAACTCAGGAAATCCTCCATTGAAAGTAATCCGAGAAATTTCAATGTTGAGGTCAATAGTAATGCATCCAAACGATTCTTTTTAATATTTGCCTCAAGTATATAAACCCCGAACACTCCTTTATCATCATTAAAGAAAATTCAGGCTATTTAGTCATTTTTTTTCCTTCAGTTGATACACTTGGGGGTGACTGTGCAGAGTTTTTTCATCTATTTTGATAACAACTTCCATTAAATGTCACGATAAGCTTTTCCTTCTGTAAATATTCACATTACAGGAAAACATTATGTTAATTACAAACAGAATTATCTTTTACTTTCTTTTATGTAAATTTGCTATTGAATCTTACCTTGATTAAAAATTGTCAAATTAAAATTATTATGATTGTCAGCAATAAGTACATCACCTTGACTATTTTGTACAACACCAATTGGATAATTTGTTATACCTTCTGAACCAATTGTTCGTAAAAATTGTCCATCATAAGAAAATACTTTAATGCAATGTGCACGATTATCTGATATAAATATTTCTTGTTTATCATTACAACAAACACCATTTGGAAATTCCAAATATTTAGAACATGTAAATTTATTTAGAACATTTCCGTTTATATCAAAAATAAATACACGCATTACTTTGCATTCAACAACAATAATATGACCCATATTATCCACACAAACTCCTAAAAAAAAAATAAATAATAATTTTCTTTCAAAATATTTCTTAAATAAATATCAAAACATACCACGTGGATGTTGTAAAACATTGGCACCAAATTTACGTATAAATTGTCCATATTGATTATAAATTTGTATTTGATGTGTTGGACTACGTTCAGTAACAACAATATCACCTGATTGACGAAATACAGCAACACGATTTGGATATAATAGTTGTCCATCACGTTTTCCACACTCACCAAATTGAAAACGAAATCGTCCTAAGAACACATAAAAAAAACAAATTTTTTTCTCAACAAAGGAAAAAACAACAAATTCAAATTTACCATTTGAATCAAATATTTGTATACGATGATTATTTGTATCAGCAACAATAATATCACCTTGAGCATTAACAGCAACACCTGATGGTTCAGTAAATTGTCCTTCAAGTACACCAAATTCACCAAATTTTTGATGATAAATCATTTTTTGTCGTTTTAATGTTGAATTATTTGAACGTGATGATAATAATAAATTTTGTGCAAGTGACGAATAATTATCAAGTGTTGATAAACTATCAACAAGATCAACAACTGATTCTTGTCCATTAAGATTTCCATTACCATTACTTGATGTTAATGAACTTGATAATTGTTGTTGAGATTGCGCAGCATTTGACCATAATTCATATGAATGTACATCAAGTGTATTTGATGATAATGAAAAACTAATTGGTGTTGGTGTTGATGATGATAAATTTGAATATTTAGTCATTGATGTTTGAGGTAAACTACATGATAACATATCAATACCATTTAATAAATGATTTGTATTTGTTGTTTGTTGTTGCATAGATTTTGTTGGACTAAGTGATGATAGATTACTTTGTGGTTGATGATGATTATGATTATGACAACTATTTAATGATGGTGGACCAATTACTTTATTGAAATTTTCATTGATTACCTAAAAGTTTAAAAAAAAAATAAAAAATATTTATGATAAATATATTTTCGCGAAAAAGCTAGAAATCTACGATCCATATCAAAATATTAAAATGTTCCACTATTTTTTTGAACAACTATCGATAGGAACATCATAGAGACCTGCCGTTTTGATCATTGAAGAGAAAAGACTCAGGCCCATCGAATCATATTGTAATTTGATTGGCCAGCAATGGACCGATCACATAAGTTTTGTTTGTTCCATTCGAGAATTATAAAACTTTTCCTGATATCTTCGATTTCAGTCAATTGACCTTTAATCATCAACAAAAACAGTTAGACAGAAAGAATTCTCATGTTGAGTCGCATGGTGATATTTGCTTTTAGGTTCGATCTGATCTAATACTGTTATCTCAATATTTCTGAAATGTCGATTCCTTCATTACATGGCAGTTGATTGTGGCATTTCAGAAATATTGAGATAACAGAGTCAGACCATGCCAGACCTAAAAACAAATATCACTATTTGGCTCGACATGATGAATTACTCCTGTCTGGCTGTTTTTCTTCGTGATAAAAGGTCAATTGGCTACGATAGGAAGTCTTGGGACAAGTCTTATAACTCTTAGATGCAACAAGCTAAGAATGTCGGCTTTGGGTACATCAAAATAGAGAAATCTTTTCTATTCAATAGTCCTATTAAACATCTAAATCAAAAGGAAAACAGCTGGAGAATATCGTTTTCAAAAATCTTCACCAAGAACTCGTCTGATGGATCAATTGCTGATCAATCAAATTTTAATATACTTCGATGATTCTGAATTTTCTCTCTTGGATGATGAAAAGTATAGGCTTCTGTAATCTTCCTATGAAAAGTTCTTCAAAGCACATCATATTTTGAAATGGATAGTAGTTTAAATAAAACTAGAAAAAGAGAAATTTTCCAAGAGATTTTTAGCATAAAAGATAGAATGATTAATATCTGTATTATAAATTTCAATAATAAGAATATAAATTTGCAAGTAAAATTTCGACTGATGATATTTACCAATGGAATTTAAAAACTAAAGAAAAAAGAACAAAAAGGGATTGTTCGATTAGATGGGAAATTCGTTGCTAAATATAATAATTATTAATAGTCGATCACATTTGTCAAAAAAGAAACGTTATTCTTTTAATTTCTTAAAAATTCAAATAACTGTGGTAAATTTCTAACAAAAGAACATTTTCACGTGTCGGCTTGTCTCTGAGCTAGGACGTAGTACATCCTGTTAACCTTAGTAAACTATCTCTATCATAAAAAGAGTTCGTGCCTATGATTTGTTTATGAAGATAGTGAATTTTGACTTTTAGGACTCAACATTTGTGGCATTTCAATATGAAAATCTTCAAGATGATATTATTTTACTTAAAACTCACTTTTAGAAAACAGAAAAGATTATTCTTCTATAGACAACTCGATATGTTCTATAATCTTTGTACTTCCAAAACGATTTTGGCAAAAGATTTTGTTAGTCTAGAAAACCTGTTTGCTAGAGAAACCAACATATAAAGCCCTAAAGAAATCTCTTATGGTCATATTATGAGTGTCTCCGAGATATGGAACGTTTAATGCGTAGACTAGATTCTATAGATAGTATCTACAGCACTTATTTTGTACAAGCTTTATATTGTGAAGACACTAGCCCCAAAAATATTCTGAATTTTTTTCTAGGCAAGCAAGTCAAATTAAATGTCTTTCTGTGGACAAATTTTCAGATCGACCACTGATAATATTGTCTTGTTATAAATGTGAAATTCTGAAAAGCTAAAATCTATTCTCTTCAGAAACGAGATACAAACTCTTTTTATGGTAGAGATAGTCTACTAAGATCTATCAAATCGAAAAAGTTCTTCAATCACTTCCACATTCATCTGTTCTAATGAGTTCTTTTTTTCTATATTCAAGACTATTGAACTCAGTACAGAAACCGGTAATGGTTACTGACCAGATCGGTACCGGTCATCAAAAACCCAGACCGATTCTATCTCTGATTCAGAGTAACTATAAGATAAATTTTCTTCTCATTCGATAACTAATCCGTTACTTATCTAATTAATTCAATCGTATGAGAAAAAAATTCTTTTCAAAGAAATTGTGTCTCATTAATCAGATTCTATTAAAAGTCAAGTTTTATTTTCTAATTCATTGAATATATCAAACATTTTAACAGAAATATTTTTTCTTGTTTTGAACGATGAAATCTCATGACATTATTTTTACAAATAAATCCCAATAGTACAACATCTTCTTTTTTGTTAGATCTAAAGATAATCTACCTAATGAAACAAGTTTTATACTTCATAATCAGGAGTTATGGATTCAGTTTTTACACAGAACTTTCATTTGAATAAACTCGTCAAACTGAACGATACTCATTTGAAATTTTTTTCAACCGTTTAGATATTCAATAATAAAGTTTCAATTCATATTTATCTATTACCTTTTGTGTTCGTGGTTTATAATGATTATTCTAAAAAGAAAGACGAAAACAAATGAAAATGAAATTTTCTTCTTAAAGATCAATTTACCAAGGTTGCTGTTTCAGGTGATGATCGTACATAACCAAATGTATTTCTTATACCTGTTTGTATAGCCTTGAAAATAATTCAATAATATAATTTTTCTTAATAGAAATGTTTTTTTTTTTACTTGAAAATTTGAAACAAATTCTAATTCAAACGTTGATTGACCATTAGTGTCAGGTAAAATTTGATTAAGTGTATTTAATTTATTTTCAAGTTGTTTTTTAAACATTAAAATTTCTGTTGTTGAAGAAGTTTTAAATAAACGATCAGAGAATTCCAATGGCTAACACAAACAAAAACTTATTCATTTAATATTTTTTTTTATTTTTTTTTTTTGTCAATCTTTACTAAATTAGCACGTTCAACAGCTTCTTCAATTTTTTGCATTTGATTTGTTAAAATACTTTGTTTTTCATTAAATGTATTATCCAATTCCTGCAAATAAAACAAAAACATTCAATTTAATCAATCAAAATGAAAACTTCTTACTTTAATAAGATCATTTTTTCTTTCATCAATTAATTGTCTATAAAAATTAAATGTTTCATTAATATCATGTTGTGCTTTATTATATTGAGTCTAATGGACGTCAAAAAACAAAATCATTTATTTTCATAATATAAGATCATGGAAAAAAGTTTAACAACAACGTATTTTTTATATAATGTTAAGCCTCTCCTGCTCAAATTCAGATAGTGATTTTAACAGCCAATGGAATTTTCTATCTTATGCATTCTATAGTTGATGAACTGCTATTGCAAGGTTTCTAAAAGGCTGAACATGGTAGTTTTCAGATCCCAGAAGCTATTTTTTAACAATACTATCAGTGGTGGAGTCAGGATTTACAGCTAGAGGTGACTGAGTGTCCCATCCCTGAGAATCTTTGAACCATTCTAGTGATATGTTTGAAAATGTTTTTTTTTCTTCAAAAATCTCACCAGAAGTGCAAAGGCTCGTGGTGGACCGAGTCCTGCCTAACCCCAAATCTTGATCTTGACAGGCTCTTCTTGAACCTGAGAACTATTGTGTATTGCTTTTAGAAATCTAGCCATCATAGTGCATCTAGTATAGAAAAATTAGATAGAAAACTCTATTGACTATTAAAATCACTTTCTGAATTTGAGCTAGATGCTTAGAATTATAAAAAAAAAAACAATACGTTGCTATTAAACTTTTTATATTTAAAATTTGCTTTACTTGTAATAAACTATATGATCGATCAATTAGTTTTTGTGAATGTTTTAAATCAATTAAACGTTGACGAGTATTTTCAACAATATGTTGTAATTTTGCTACTTGATGTGATCCTTTTAAGTAATGAAAATATTAGAAAAAGAAAAGTCTATTGAATATAAATATATTTACCAGCATCATTTAATGAAATAAATTCATGTCCAACACGCCCATGATCAGTTGTTGTACATGTTGTACAAACTGTAAAATAGAATAATTATTTTAAAAAAAATCTAAAGCCATTTTCTACTTGGTATATTGCAAGTAGCACAAAAATATTTTAATGTTTCATTTTTATGCATTGGACAAAAGATTAATCGAAGATCATTACCATTGGAATCAAGTTCTTTAATATGAACAACCTAAAATAGAAAATTAATTAATTAGGAATTTTTTTCTTATTGAATTTTTATAAAATAGCTCACATTAACTATATTTGTATTCGAAAGATAATCATTATTAAGAATTGTGTACATTCTCTTTTCTCGGCCTTTTTGATTATTAGAAGTGTTTTGATAATCATCCACTAAGACCACAGAGAGAGAGAGAGAGAGAGAGAGAGAAAGCGAGAGAATAGAATTTTTTTTTTTGTTGCCTTCTGTAAATTCTCAGAAGTGAATACGAATACAGAAAAAGGACAAATCATCATCAGTTTTTTTTGTAAATTGAGTTGCTCAAGAGATGAAAGAAGAAGAGAAAAAAAAAATGAGAGAAGTTCAGTTGGCAAAAAGCTTTGCGTTCTGCTTGCTCGCACACTCTTGTCATTCACTTTCGTTCTCTATTTCTTTTTAATAGAATTCAATTTTTCTTTCATTCTTTCTTTATCCGTCTTCAGATCCTAATAAAAGGCTTCTTAATAATTTTTTTTTCTTTTTTTCTTTGGACAATTTTCTACATAATTCAGTCTAATCGATATTAGTTATCATTAATTGATAAAGAAGATGATGAAGTTGCAGCTGTCTAATTTTCTATCTTTTTATGTGTATATACGCTATCAATCTAACATTGATAATACTTTGTTCTACAACTGAATTCTTTTTCTTTTTCTTGCCGACTAGAAAGTGTATCCTTGGCCTTTGTTTTCTTTATACGATCAGCTACAGTTATTGAAACGTACAATCCATCGAACGATGGATAGCAAAGAAGAAAAAAAGACAGCGAGGAATTTGAGCGTCTGAATTCTCTCATATAGAAATAGGATCCGACCGGAAAAGAAATACAACATAAAAGTGGTTGGATGCATCTTGAAAAAAAAACTAAGCATATCGGAAAGATAAGGAGAGTAAGAAAAAAAAATTCTAACAGAATTATGGAAATGCATATTCAATAATTATTATTAGATTATTTATATGCATGTCTGTTTGGTAAAGAACATCAATGGAAATGATGAAAAGAATAGAACAAGAAAAAAAATCAATCAAACAGAATGTATAATAGAAAAAAACGAGAAAAGAAAAAAAGAAAAAAGAGCGCTTGAATGTATGTATGATGATGAAAAAAATCAATAAGAAAAATACAGATTTTTAAAGAAAATATTTATCATTTTAACTTACGCGGTGACCTTCAAAACAATTCATTATTTGATGTGCACATACACATTGATGGCATAGGAAGCTTGAACATTGGAAGCATTTAGCTACAGCCATTGATTCTGAACTTTTACATGCCGTACAATATTGTGTAGAATTTTCTCCTAATGGTAACATATAATCATTTGATATATTTGACTGATTATTTTGTATTGTATAATCAGGTAAAATATCTGTAAGCATTGTTGTTAAACCACATAATGGACAAGAAATATTTCGATTTTCTTTGTCGGATAATTTTTCTATGCATGTCTCACATAATGAATGAAAACATTGAAGAACTTGTGGACGATTTTGCTTATATGCTTCTTGACATCCTGGACAATTCCAATAATTGTAATGATATTCTTGGTGTTGTTGTTTGGTGTAAAAAGATGTTGACGATGATGGACAACATAGATTATCTGTTGTTGACTGAACACTTGATAAACTCGAGCTTGGCGATGATGTTGTTAAACCAGGAAGTAATGATAGATGTGTCGATGTTGCTGGTTTTATTTGTTGTTTTTGTTGTGTAGGATTTTGTTGTTGCTGTGATGAAAGGTTACGCATGATTGAAATTGATTGACTGGTTGTATTAGTCGAATTTTGGGATTGTGATGATGATGGTGGTGGTGATTGTGATGATGCATATGCAGAATCCGTATATGAAAATGCAGTTGATGAAGCATTTGAACTTGAACCTGAACTATCGTGACTAATACATGCCGAAAGAAGTGTATTTGATGATGCATCCGATGTTGGAGGAAATAAACCAAAGAATGGTGAATGCTAAATAAAAATTTATAATATTAAAAACTATGGATATCCTTTTTTTTTCAATTAAATAGGACAGCAAAAGAACAAGAGTACTCAATTATTCTAGGTTAAAGGTCATCATTTATATATATATTTATATATATATATATATATATACAGGTGGCTGGTTACCATTGCCTCTCCTGGTGCTTTTATTTTGTATGTTTTTTTTTCGTTTATCGAAAAGTCACGTAATCATTCACTACTAGAAGAAAATGATTTTCTTTTTTTCTTTTGATAACTGTGAGTTCTAAACTGTAACCTTTACTTTAAAAAAAGGATGATAAAAGTAGAATCATAAAAAGAAATTTATCTATTTTAATGTCAACATATGGCGCATAAAATTGCGACTTTTGTCTTTATTAAATTTTATTTTAACAATAAAGTCTTTAGTTATCTTTTTTTCTTTTCATCTGTCAATATTGCTTACCCATAAATCATTATCAAAATCGAACATTGTTATTATTGATGCGATTATCCGTCTGTTAATAGTGGCAAACGAAATTCTTCTCTGCCAGCATAAGTAAAGCGGCTGACTGGGTAATGATTTGTCAAAGTTACCTCGTCTTTCTCTCTCTCTCTCTGTCTCTCTCCTTTTTTTTTCCTTCTTCTCTTTTTCTTCTCGTCAGTAGTGCTCCCTATGTACCGTGAGGAGAACAGATCGTCAAGGTGTCTCCCGTCTTTTTTTCTTTTTTCTTTCTCTACTCTCCCATTTTGTATACATAAAGATATACATATACATGGTCAAAGAATATGAGTATGTCAACGTTGATGACTGTCATGAGACGCAGTTGAACCTATTTGATTGTATCTAATTTTTTAAAGTTCTATTCTTTTCTACCCGAAAGCAACAACTAATGATTTCCTTCCGAACACATTTTTTAATGACGATACGTATACGAACAAAAAAGAAAAACTCATGCACATCTGTACATTACAAATTGAACGTGTATACATGCAGATGTTTTGATAATATTAATATAAACATAGAATAAATCATTACTCATATCTTTATAATTAAAACAAAATGTAAATTTCTTCTCTGTTTTTTTCTGAAAAGGAGTGCGTTGCCATTGTTACTTATTGGCTTTTCACGCTTTTTTCTGTCTTTTATTATTATTCCAATTATTCACTATATTGTGTCAAAATGGTAACTTAAATCCAGCTAATCGATCACATACACTTGCTCGAAGTAATAAAAAAAAGGAGAAAAAAGAAAAGCATGAATGAATGAATGACATTTTCACTTTCAAGGTTATATTTATATGTAACTGGTACATATAATAGGTATTGATCGAACACGAACAACGCAAATAATAACAATAAAGCATAATTGTAACTACAAATATGAGAAGGAAAAAAGAAATTAATTTTTTTCCTAATTGACAACTCATCGAGCAGCTCACACTTGTATGTCATCAAATACACAATGTATCCATCAGATGACAAGGTGTAGGAGTAGTAAACAGTAAAATACGTCTTTCTATGTCTCAAAAGTTCTCTTGACAAATTCAAGATACTTATATAGACAGAATGAAAATACTAAGTCTATAATAGAAGATGTTGGTCTTGTGGTCAAAATATAATCTATTCCAGATAAAAGCCGTATATATTAATATGAACTATATAGAAAACATCATTTAGATGAAAGATGATGATAAAGATGCATGCTTATTTATAGCTTGAGGACATCATGACAGCTACAACATAGAAAGAAACGGTTTCATATTATATATGCTTGAGTTCGATGAGGTTTTTTTTTTTATAGAAATAAATAGGATAATGTTGGTAGGAAAAGAAAAAGAAATAAAATCAGAACATAGTCTCTTAGTAACAAGTTACAAATTTTTGTTTATTTTTTTAGACGACATTTTCAGTAAAAATAGAATATGAAAATTTTCTTATATATCATATAGGAAACCTTCCATGTCTTTTTTTTTTGATAAAACAAAAGCAATGATAATATTCAGTTGGAGCTTTTCAGTCTTCTTTTTTTTAATCTGAATCAAAAGCATGCTAACAAGCACATATTCATTTCGATCTCGTTGTATCTTTATCAAATGATTGTGGTCGAGTTTTATCTTTCATCTGTCTCTTAACTATGCCCACGAAACTACGAAAAAAAAAAAATTCATCTATATATCATCTTATATCTTCGTATGAAATAATTTCGTAGGCGAAATACGTCTCACAGCAACATTATTTGTTGAGACATGATAACATGTATACTACATCCTACGAACATGAAAATAGTGTGTGCTTATGCGGATAACATTTGTTAAGAGCTTTGCATAACATATGCAAGCATAACAACAGGTACTTGTTGACAAAAATAAAAACAAAAAAGGTTACGAAAAAAAAGACGAGATAGATAGATAAGTTAATAACAGCATATTTCTTTTTCATCTTACTTGATCACGAACATCGTCGTCAACATCATCAAAATGGTTTGTTAAAAGAAGATCTTTATCACGATAGGGATGTTGTACGTCAAGTAAAATTGATGAATCGTCGAGATCACCATCGATAAAAATTGTTTTCAATGTTGATGGTATCATAGTATTGGCTTGAAAGAAGGCGCGTTTATAATAACGGTTTCTAAAATGAAAACTCAACAAGTCTGCTGTTGTTTCTTTCTGGTTATGAATGTTGTTGTTCCATTATGTTCTTTGCTTTGCGCGTTGTGCCTTCATTCTATATATGTGTGTGCGTGTGTTGTTGTTGTTGTTGTCGGCTCGAGCAATAAACGAACAGTCGAAGAGAGAGAGAGAGAGAGAGAGAGAGAGAGAGAGGGAAAAAAAGAAGCAAAGAAAGGAAGAAGAACAAAGAGAAAGAGCTTTTTTACATGCCAACGCCACTGACAACGATGGTCTGGTTTGTATTTTCTGCAACAAGAAAAAAAAGCGGGAGAGAAAGAGAGAGAAACAATAAATAAAAAAAAAGAGAAGTCGAGCAACAAAAAAAATAGAAGCAGGCGTGTGTGTGTCAGTGTGGCTTCTTTCTTTCCTTTCTGTCGTTGTGTCTATGTTTTGTTTTACAAAAATATCGCTCTATCTGAAAGTGAGAAAGAAAGAAAGAAAGAGCAGAATTATTAAATCCGTTGTTGGGTGATAGTGAACGAACATAAGCGTTCTTTTCTTCTTCTTGTTATTTTGCATTTTTTCAATATGAAGAGCATCGAAACTAAATTACGACGACAATACATATGGATTACACTATCATCGAAGCGGTCGGTCAGCAGAGAAGAAAGAAGGAGAAGAAGAACAAAAAAGAAAAATGAAATAAAAAAAGCCGTAGGCTCAAAGAAAGGCAAATAAATGCAGGACATTATTGTTATGATTCATCTGGAATGCACATGTTTCTTGTATTGGGGATAGTGTTCGTATACCAATTTATTTCTTATTCGTTCATTAGACCTTATGACAAGATCGATATGTACATACATGTTTATATTCATTTATTCTCTTGGGTATGACTATTGATGATGGCAATCGTCTGATTACTAGCTAGTCGAATAGCCGTGCTTTTCTTCGATCAACATGACATTTACTGATGGAAGAGTCGGAAACTACATCATAGTAATAAATTAGCAAGAGCGTTTCTAGGCATTTATGCTTATAGAAAGCAAGAGCATCAACTACGATGAAAAACATTCTTATAATGATTAGAAGTGCCATTACATACGCGACGAATGTAGCCGAAAAAGGCAACGGACAGAGAAAAAACTAAATTATCGATACCAGATGAGATTGTTTGTTCTTATTCGACTTATTATATACTAAAAATAAAGAATTTCATGTTAGAGAATCGTTAAGACAAAGAAAATAAAAATAAAAATAATAGAAAATATTGTTATTCGACAAAAAAAAAGCAAGTGACAATGACGAGATTCGAATAGTGATGATCAATAATAACATAACATATGTTTCTTCAATTTTCGAAAATTTTAATTCTTCTTTTGTTGTAGTTAATTCATATTCTTTAGTTGTGTCCTTTCGAAGATGTGATGTAGACCACTCGAGCATGCTACCATGCTTGTGTCAACAAACCTTAAGTAAATATCCGTTGATTTATTCGTTAAAATTCACAATAGAATCTTGCGAACAGACTTGATCCACGTGATTCGTTTGAGTTAATTGAAGAATCTATCTAAGTTTCGAAAAGTTAGCTGATACTTTATATCAGAATAATAAATTTTAAAATTACTTGAGCACTAGCGAGATTTTCTTGATACGTATTTCGTATCTTTTTTAAATATTAAATTTTTTTTTGTTTTTATCGAATAAGTAACCGGTGACCTGTAATAAGTATTTTGTTTTTATTTTCAATTCTCGAGGAATTAAACACTTGTTTTTAATTTTTGTTTTCAGCTCACTACATAGAGAATTTAATTGTCTACAAAACTACCGACTCTTTTTCATGGTGGTGTGAACTTTAAGAGATTAACACCTGTCAAATTGTCAAATTGTGAGTTCTTGTTTTTCTAGAGATTAAAAAAAAACTGTTCGTGTAAATTTGTATTCATCAAAGTCAATATTAAAAGAGAAGTATTATATATCAAAAGATAGATATTGCTTTTACTCTATATGTTCATGATCTCATCATGATTCTAAGTACTTTCTTTAGAAGAATAATAGTTTCTTACAAACACCTTACGGTACTTTTTGATACAATATGAAAAATAATGTTTACATAAGTCAAACTTCTACTTTAAATTACTGGATTTGATATGATTGAATGTAAAATTTAATTCTGTACATAGGAGTATGAGTGTTCATTTGAACTGCTGAAATATTTACATTATTTTATATCATTCTAATGTAATCATCCGGATAATTTGTTTTTTCTGTGATTTAACACTTCAATTTGAATATTTCCTTCTCAATTATTTCTTCGAAAGCTCTGAAAGTTACATCTAGAAATGTAAATCAATCGGCAGCGACGACTGGAACGTTTTTTATGCTTATTAAGAAAATATTCTTAACTTCGTGGAATTCTGTGATAAAATAGGGGGAAAGTAATGTTTGAGAACGTAATACTAAGAAAATAGAAAAGATCCTTTTTGAACACAGGTCCCAGATGTCGAAAACTTTCGAAAATGTGACCTATATTTTTTGTGGCGCGGTGACGGCAATACGGATGGACTATTAAAGAGTTAGTGGCTTAATTATCTTAAAAAATTGTACGGTTATCAGCAGTGGTGGCCAATCGGCTTACGTCTCTAGTTACGTCAATCGGTGCAAAATATTTTAGTATGTTTGAAATTCCGACAGATCCGTTCTTTAAAATTCTCTATAATTTTTTCACTGTTTTGACTGTCGGATTCATGTAATTTAGTAGTTGCTAATCTTGTTAATTTTACTTTGAGATGAAAAGTTTATTCGAAAGACAAAAGCAACAATTTTGTAGAAAATTAAATTTTCTATCGAATGAGTTTAAAATCAAAATTATAAATAATTCATAAATACCATAAAGATAAGTAATAGAAGTGAATCTTTAATTATGAAACATCCGTTATATTCAGAGGAAATAGCTTACTTAACATAAATCAACTAAACAGTTTTTTCGGTTCTTGTGTAACTTTATTGGATCAGATCAACAATGGATTTGAAAATTTGTCTTCGCACAGGATTCTTATTCCCAATAAATTCATTTGAATTTCAAATAATAATTGAATACATATCGTAAATAAAATTTTCTGTTTGTATTTTATTATTATGATCAATTATGGCATCGAAAAATAGTCTTTAAGTTTAGCAAAAGAAGCAAAGGTGCACATAAAATGAAAACAATGTTAATTTATTCAAAAAAAGAAAAGAAAAGTATTTGGCATATTTATACTACATTTTGGTTCCGTTAATAGAACAAAACAGTCAACCTAAGAATATCTTATCATTGAATAATCATTAAGTAAAAAGTCTTAGATTGCCATAAACACGTCAGAATTTTGTAAATTTACAAATAGAAGAAAAATCATTAAGAAATTAAAGCGTCGAACTATGCTCCGTATTCAATAAATCTGGTAAAGATTAATGAAAAATCTCAATACAGAATAAGAGTAATGTTTACACAATTAGGCTTTCATTGAAATAAGTTATTTTCTTTTCTGCCAATTACAGTGAAACCTCTCTAATGTGGGTACTATGTAGATCGACCGAAAGCGCTCATTTTACGGAGATGCTTATTATTGAGATATTCTTAGCTTCTTTTTTTCGAACGATTTATTAATATTATTTTTTAATCAGAGATAAATCAGCATGTGTTGATATGATTTGTGTTACCAACTGTTAATACAAGATCGATGAGATATTGCATCAGGCACTATTACTGTTGTCTAATATTTCTCTTTTTTCTATTCTTTTTTAATATGTACGGTTAGTGCATCTCCTTTTTTTATACATATCCCATGATTTTTTATTATAACGCAATACACATAACATCGTTTTTTTCGCGCCTTGCGTGCGAGTCATAGAATATGTGTTACTGACAGCGGGAGGTTGTTATTAATTATAGAACCAAAAATAGACACGCATCAGGATATGCTCATATTTAAGAGGCTCCTTCCAAAGAAAACTCACTTAAGTGGGTCATAGACTGCTCAGTATAAGAGAGCATTTTCTTTCGAGTGGTAATGAAAGGTTTTCTTTTGTAAAGAAGAAATAAATTAAAACACAAAAATTAACAATTAGGGTGCTTATGAAAGATTGGTTATGATTTGTGATTTGTCACATTCATTTATAGATAATTAGAAAAAAATAGATAAACGCATCGCCAAGAAAACTAAAAGCAAAACAAAGCAAATTATCTAAAAAGATTATGAATTTCAAGAGTTTTATAAAATATTCAAGTTAATGAACAATAAGTATATGAAGTAATTTTAATAAATTTAAATTCTTCGTAATTATAAGAAAGAAAGGAAAACTATATAAAGTTAATTCATAGTGTTTAGTATACAACTATCTGTTATATAAAAAAAATGCTCTTTATTTTGTTCACCGGTCAGTGTAGAAAATAGAAAAAAACTAAAACAGAAATAACAAATTGATAGAAAAAGCGAGATTTTTTTGCTTTAGAAACTTGTTGTTACATTAGGGTTAATATAAGAAAAACCACGAAATGTGTCTGGTGGTGTCGATAAAAGTAATACTTTATCTTTTTCTTCAAGCTCAGAAAGACGCAGTTCTTCACCATTTGGTTCAAATGACGTCAATGACTGAAATGTAAAACAAAAATAAATAGATTAATCATACTGACAACGCTGTTCGACTTGATAATCCCTTATGTTTGTGATAGTTCTTATCGTATGATAAATGGATCCATTAGCAGTATATGGCTTATTCATTGATAAGAAGAGAGCTTCAATATGTATGTAGGAGAAGTTGAAAAAGTTCTTTCAGAATCGAATAATAGATTTCTTGTTCGAGTTTAAATATTTCAAAAGTAAAAAAATTGACGAATGAAAGACGGGACATATTTTAATAATATTTTCCTATTGATCGTAATGTTTTGGATATTATCTACTGAATAACTTATTTTAATAATCATAACCAAACTACTT